ATGTACATGGAAGAAAATATATGTCATACACCTGAAATAATAGCAACTGAAAAAAAGAAGCAACTCCAGGAAGCTTTAAAAGAATTCAATTTAGAAATAAACTCCCAGATAAAAGAAGAAATGATAAAAGCAATGAAAGAGATGCTGAACACATCTAAAGAAGACACAGTTAAAAAACTAGAGGAACAAAGCAAAAAAGATAAAATCCCTGGAAGAACAATATAAAAAACAGAATACATGAAGCAAATTCAAAAAGATATACAGGAAATCAAAAATTCCATTGAAAGTTGTCAAAACCACTTCAACAATAGTGAAGGTAAAATTTCAGACCTCAAAGACAAGATTGCAGCTAGTGAACAGGAAAGAAAAAATCTTTTAAAAATAACAAGGAATCAGGAAATAACAATTCAATAGCTGAAACATGATGCAAAGAAAAACAACATAATATTGATAGGGATAAATGAAAAAGAAGGGCATAACACAAATAATATCAAAGGGTTATATATAGAAGTAATAGCTGAGGAGAACTGAGCTGCTAGAGTGGGTGAGTTCCTGCACACATCCCAAGCCCCAGGAGAGTTTAACATCATCGCTTCCAGTGGTCAAGGACCTGCCCAGCTTCCAGCCACACTAGACTAGGCTGGGGAGGTTTTGCGGCCTGAGTAGATTGCACCCAGCAACCTTCTTCAATCAGGGAAGTTGAAGGTATATGAGGTGAGTTTCAGCACATTGGTCCTTACCTGGAAAGAGCCGAGGATCATCATCCAGAGTGGTTAGGAGCACCCCCCATGTTTCTGGAACACTGGAGGTGGCACAGGAGCTCCTCTGGGCCTGACGACTATGCTCAGAAACCTCCATTCAGTCCCAGGAGCTGAGGGCATAGATGATTTCCAACACATCTAGGGGAAGCCTTGGAACAACACTTGAAACATAGAAATATAGGAAAATGAAAAAATAAAACATCAAAATGCATTCTCAAACCTCCAGGCCATCCCAAGGAAGCCTTCAAGTCATGTACATAGAGGAAAATATATGCCATACAGCTGCAATAATAGCAACTGAAATAAAGAAGCAATTCCAGGGGGCTTTAAAGGAATTCAAATAAGAAATAATCTCCCAGACAAAACTAGAAATGATAAAAGTAATGAAAGAAATGCTGAACACATCTAAAGAAGACAGTTTAAAAATTAGAGGAATAAAACAAAAAGATAGAATCCATGGATGAACAATATAAGAAACAAACAGAATACATGAAGCACATTCAAAGAGTTATACAGGAAATCAAAAATTCCATTGAAAGTTGTCAAAACCACCTCAACAAAAGTGAAGACAGAATTTCAGACCTCGAAGACAAGATTATAGCTAGTGAACAGAAAAGGAAAGACCTTTTAAAAATAAGAAGGAGTCAGAAATAACAATTCAACAGCTGCAAGATGATACAAAGAAAAACAACATAAGATTGATAGGTATAAATGAAAAAAAAGGAGACAACACAAATAATATCAAGGGGCTATTTACAGTAGTAATACCAGAAAATTTCCCAAACATAAGAATGGAAACTGACATTAGGATTAGTGAAGGGTATAGAACTCCAAATAGCCATAAACAAAATAAAAATACATCCAGACATATAATAATCACCATCCCAGAAATACAACATAAGAATAGAACATTAAAAGGTTTTAGAGAAAAGACAGATCACCTATAAAGGAAAACCTATCAGAATCACAGCAGACTTCTCAACAAAAACAATGAAGTCAAGAAGAGCATGGAGTGAAATATTTCAGATCCTAAGGGAAAATTATTTCCAACCTAGATTGATGTACCCTGAAAAACTGTCCTTCAAAATGGATGGAGAAATAAGATACTTCTATGACAAAGAACAGCTGAAGAACTTCATGATCACTGTGCCAACCCTGCAGTGAATACTGAAAGACAGTTTAGACACACACAGGAAAAAGCCACAAAACAAGGCAGACAATTAAACAGAATGAAAAAATAAAGATGCAACAGCAGAAACACAGCATGTCAACAATAAACCAATATATAACAGTTATAACCATTAATGTAAATGGTCTCAATTCACCAATTAAAAGAAACAGACTGGCAAAATGGATCAAGAAACAACACCCAACCATATGCTCTCTACAAGAAACCCACCTAACCAAAAGGAAACTCAGAGACAGAAAGTCAAATGATGGAAAACAATACTTCATGGTACAGGAACCAAAAAAAAAAAGCAGGGATAGATATTCTGTTTGCAGGCAATGTGAACTTCAAGGCAAGAATGATCCTAAGAGATAAAGAAGTTCACTACATACTAGTTAGGGGAAAACTACAAGAGGAAGAGATAACAATCTTAAATATATATGCACCAAATTCCAGAGCACCCAGTTATACAAAGCAAGTATTAAGAGAAATGACAAATCAAACAAGCAATAACACAATTATAACAAGATATCTTAACACACCATTGACACCAAGGGACAGATCAACCAGACAGAAAATCAGCAAAGAAATAACAGAACTGAATCATACCTCTGAACTAATGGACTTGATAGACATATACAGAGTGTTCCATCCAACAACATCAGAATATACATTATTCTCAGCAGTACATGGGACATTCTCTAAAACAGACCATATAGTAGTCCACGTAACATATATAAATAAATGCAAAAGAACTGAAATCATAGCACCATGAAACTAGAAATTAATAATAAAGTGCAAAAACCACACAAATACATGCAAACTGAATAATGCACTATTGAGCAATCAGTGGGTCACAGGGGAAATTACAGAAGAAATTAAAGTATACCTACAGCAAACAAAAATACAAATACAACTTACCAGAATCTGTGGGATGCAATGAAAGCTGTCCTCAGAGGAAAATTTATTGCACTGAGTTCCCACATCAGCAAAACAGAACGAATACAAATAAATAATCTGATGTTACACCTCAAACAACTAGAAAAAGAAGAGCAAGTCAAACCCAAAGCCCAAAGAAGGGAGGAAATTATAAAAATTAGAGCAGAAATTAATGCAATAGAGACTAAGAAAACAATCCAAACAATCAATGAATCAAAGAGTTGGTTCTTTGAAAGAATAAATAAAATTGATGAGCCCATAGACAATCTTATTTTAAAAAGGAAAGAAAAAGCTCAAATTCATGCAATAAGAAATGAAAAGGGTGAAATCACTACAGACTCTGTGGAAATACAGAAGATCATCAACACTTATTTCGAAAACCTCTACTCTCATAGGTTCAATAACACAGAAGTGGACAGATTCCTAGAAAGAAATGCTGGGTCAAGAAGATGTAAAACTGTAGAATAACCCAATTTCTATTAATGAAATTGAAAATGTAATTAAGTTCTTACCTACAAAGAAGAACCCAGGTCCACATGGATTCACTGTGGAATTCTACAAGAAATACAAAAAAGACAATGCTGACACTCCTCAAACTTTTCAATGAAATCAAAAGGGAAGCAATTCTTCCTAAGTCATTCCTGGAAACAAATATTACTCTAGTACCAAAACCTGAGAAAGACCCAACTAAAAAAGAGAACTACAGGCCAGTCTCCCTAATGAACACAGATGGAAAAATCCTCAATAAAATATTAGCAAACAAGATGCAGTAAATCATCAAGAAGATTATGTACCACAACCAAGTGGGATTCATCTCAGGAATGCAGGGGTGGCTCAACATGCATAAATCAATAAATGTAATCCACTATGTCAATCAAGCTAAAAGTAAGAATCACATGGCCATTTCTATAGATGCAGAAGTTTTCATAAGGTCCAAAATTCATTCATGATAAGAACCTTACAGAAAATTAAAATTGATGGTATTTACCTCAATATGATAAAGGCCATCAATGACAAACCAACAGCCTGCATACATAAATATATGTATGGCATATATTTTCTTTTGTGTACATAGTTCCTAGGGTTTCTTGGGATGGGCTGGAGGTTTGAGATTATATTTTTGCCTTTCATTTTTTCATTTTCTTATATTTCCATGTTTCAAGTGTTATTCCAAGGCTTCCCCAGGGCCTGTTGGTAATCCTCTTCTATGCCCTCAGCTCCTGGGACTCTGGCCAACCAGTTCCCTGGATTGAGAGAGGATCCCTGGGGGTGGAGCCCTATGGTGCACATTGAGTGTGGCAGGAAGCTGTGAAGTTCCTTGGCTGGTGGGAGCAATGATTCCAAAATCCCTGGTTCAGGGGATGTTGCAGGGACACTCACTGCAGGCCGCTCAGCCTCAGAAACTGAGGGCGCTGGCAGGCTCGGGACCCCAGAGTCCACCAAGCATGGCAGGGAGTGGGACAGTTGTTGCAGGTGGGCTCAATACCCACAGAGTTGGTCCAATGCAGCAAGAAGCCACAAAGTTCCTTGGCCGGACCCCAGCGAGGATCCCAAACTCCCTTGGTTCAGGGGATGGTGCAGGTAACACTCACCGCAGGCTGCTCAGCCTCGGGAACTGGATGACAGTAGTTTTGTACTACAATTTCAAGTCAGGAATTGTGATGCACTCTGCCTTGCCTTTGTTCCCTGGAATTTCCTTTGCTATTCTAGGATACACTGTTGGAATTTTGATTGGGGTCACATTAAATCTGCATAACAATTTTGGAAATATGATCATTTTCATTGTATTGGTTCTTTCTAACCAAGGACAGGGGATATTTTTCCATTTTCAGATATCCTCATCAATCTCACTTTTCAGAGTACAGAGTAGTTTTCATTTACTTTTTTTTTTTTTTTTTTTTTTTTTGTCTTTTTGAGATAGGGACTCACTATGAGGTTCAGGCCTACCTTGTAGCACAGGCTTTTCTCAAACTCTCAATGATTCTCCTGCCTCAGCCTCCCTTGTGCTGGGATTACAGGCATGTATCACCCTGCCAAGCTAGAGTACTGTACTTTTCAACGTACTTTTACTTCCTTTCTTAGGTTGATTTCTAGATATTTCATTTTTTTGGATGCTTTATGAAAGGTGTTATGTGACCCTGAATCAAGTCCTGCATTTGCTGTAGCTACTGGTTTCAAAAAGGAACCTAATGAGAAGCCTTCTTAGGGTTTCTTGGTCATTTCAGAACTTTGAAAATGTAATGATCAATTCACTAGAAACAGCTTAGAGTCCAATGCAGGCCTGAGAAGAACCTACACAACAAGCCTCTGCTGTGAGTGGGCCCAGCAATCCAGTGAGCACAATACAAGCCCAGAGAAGACACCACGCCTTGCTGTGCTGCCCCAGTGAGGCCCAGCAACACAGTGATGCCAGTGAGGGCCCAGAGAAGGGGTCAACCCCAAGGATCCACTACCATCTTGGGAACATAGAAGAACCACCACCCCATGCATCTCTACTACTCCAGGAACCCCAGATCAGAAGTGCATAGCACAATCCCCTACTGAGGGAATGGCAGCCAATGCAGGAAAAACCCAACTATGTAGCAATAAGATGATTCATAGAAATACAGGAAAATGTCACAATGAAGGAGCAAAATACAATCTCAGCAAAATACAAAAGCCCACCTTGAACAAGTTCAAGAGACATAGACATAGTAGAAATTAGAGATCACACACTTGAAATTTCAACTTGGTTCTTCTATTCTTTGGTTAATTTTGCATGGTGGTCTGGGCAGCTATTTTTAAGATAACAAGATGCACTATGGTATCTTGTTAATGCTGTATTATCTTGTATTGAACTCCTGTATCATTTTTATTTGTTTGTTTAGTTTGGTTTCATTCTGTTTTATTTTGTTTAGTTTTAGTGTGTCTGATGCTTTGGACAGCTGTTTCTGTTTCTCTCCGCCTCTCTCTGTTTGTCTCTGTCTCTGCCTCTCTTTCTCTCTGTGTGTGTGTGTGTGTGTGTGTGTGTGTGTGTGTGTGTGTGCCAGAGATTGGACACAAAATCTTATGCTTGCCAAGCAGGCACTTGTGTCACTGAGCTAAATCCCCAGCACTGGACAGCTGTTTTGAAGTAACAGAATGTATTATGGTAGCCATTGTTGATTTCTTATTATCTTCTTTTAAAGTCCTGTGTCAGCCACTTCCTGCTTTGCCATAAGAGCCTGCCCCACCTTGCCATGCTGCCTCACAGCCAAGTGAGTATAGACTGAAACCTCCAAGAACTGGTTATGCCCTGTACTTCAAATCTGCCAGAAATGTGACAGTGAACATCCTCAACAATCAGACTAAAGTGCTAATTCAGCTGATAACAAGTCCAAAAGCTGTAGAAGCTTATGGCAAAAAGTTTGAAGTGAAAACTGTGTCTGGAAAATTGCTCTTCTCTGAAGATGACAATGAAGTGTTGGTAGGAGCTGAGAGATTAAGAGTGTTAGGAGCTGAGGGCTCAGTTTTCCCTAAGTCTATAGAAACACCTAACATCAGGGCAGACCCCTTCAAGGAACTAAAAAGGAAGTTCAGAAGAAGGCAGGTCAATAAACAGCAAAGTAAGGAGCCTCTCTGAGAGAAAGAGCTCAGATGCTGAAAAATAGCATCCTGGAGAAGGCCAGATGGAAGGAGATGGGTCCTTTTGACCCAGAGAGAAACTAAAGGGGAAAAAAAGAAAAGAAAAACATGTATGGAAGGCTGTAGACAGATGCACTCTCACCTGAGCCATCCCACTGTGCACGAAATGCCACCACTGGACTCTGAAGACATGCGGTCCCAGTAAGTTAAGGATTGGTAAAGCCCGAAGGCCTCAGTGGAAGGATGCGGTTGCAGAAGGGAGAGGTGGACCAGAGAACAGCATTAGCTCCAAGATCTGCACTGGCTCACGGTGAGTGCTGGGAACTCAGTCTTCCCACAGGAGTGGGTAATTGGCTGGGTGACATTTTGGAATCAGGCAGGATAAGCCTGGAACTAGTGGCTTCAGTCAGCTACTCCTAGTGCAGAGCAGATTAGTGAGAATTGTTTGGACTGAGTCCCACCCCTGCGCATGATCCAATAGCCAAGGAAAAGGTTTCCCTGAAGCTATCCATAATCAGCCCCATCCACATGGCACACAATAAGGTGTGAAAACTCCCAGTGGTTGACCAGCTCAGAAGGGAGGGGCCAGCCTGCACCACCCCTACTTGTACTGCAGTGGTCAATAGCAGGCTGGGGAGGCAGCAATTCCTAGTCAGCATGTTTCAGAGTAATCCTAACAAATATAGGAAGTGCCAGGGACCACCCACTATGCACTAGTCTGGAAGAAATCAGAAACATGACAAGATAAAGAAACAAAAGGGACTCTCCAGCCTCCAACCCAAATAGTACTGGCCCAGGAGAGGTAAACACAGAAGAGATCAGGGGTTGCACACTTGCAGTTTCCAAAGAAGCAGCATCTGACATAAAGTAATATCTTCCTGACATTATAAAAGAACTGAAAACAGAAATACTAATATAAGTACAGCAAGATATAAGAAGATTAATTTAAAAATGCTAAACACCTCTCAAGAAGACAAATATGGAAGAATGGAGGAGCAGGGAAAAAGGAGGGAAACCTTTGATGAAGAATATAAAAATCAAGAATACATGAAACATATTCAAAGAGATTACCAGAATATTAAAAACTCTATTGAAAGTTGGCAAAACTGCTTGAAAGTAACTAAGGATAGACTATCATACCTTGAATACATGTTTGCAGTGGGTGATCATGAAAGGGAAGATCTCTTAAAAATAACAAGGAACACTTCCGGGAGAACATGGCGGACAGATAACAGCAACTACCGGAGGCTCTCTGAAAACTAGGCTCAGAAGCCAGGTATGGTGCGGACTAAAGACACATAAGCAGGTGGAGTTATGCTCTGCTGACTCAGGAACGAACTCGGCTGAGAGAAACCAACTCGGAATGCAGTCCTGGTGCTAAAACAGGAACAGAAAAGCCTCGCTGCTGAGGCTGGACCCCACGCCATTTGGGTTTCCCGCCGCGCGGTGGCTGGCTGCCTCTACATCGGCTCGGCAAGGAGAGAGACGCACGGAAACTCTGAGAACGGGAGTCTGTGAACGGAGTCGAAAACAGGACAGACAGGGAGGCATGTTCTGACTTGTGGCGAGGTGAGTGAGAGAAACTGACACTCCACCACAGTTTGACTCCAGCGGACTTTCTGGGCCCGGGCAGTCCTGTGGGAGCAGGGCGCGCTGGCGACTCCAGCCACACATTCCCCTGTCGGGCGGGATTGGTGAAAAGTGCCTGGCCTGCTTGACGCTGCCGGCGGACTCCGTAGGCTGGCCCAACCCAGATCCCAGAGCCTGACGGAGGCCGGGAGGGGCGGGCCCCCGCGTAGGCTGCCTGGTGTGCAGCAGTGAGTGGAAACACCTAACCGGCGCAATTCGATCAGGCTGTGGCTGACAGAGAGAGAAGCTAGGCCTCTCATATAAGCTTGCATACATAAGGAACAGAGAATATGGGAAGAGGCAGCAACAAGAAAGGCTCCTCGGCCCCCAATTCTGAGAAACAGGCAATAACAGACACCGCACCATTACACATAAGGCGCCATATAGAGAGCCTCATAGACCAATTCAGGAATGAAGTTATCAATGACCTGAAGCTAGAAGTATGCAAAATAGTTAGAGAAATACTAAGCACCACCCAAGAAAAAACAGATGGTGGAATGGAAGAACAGAAAAAGAGGGGAGAAGTGTTTGATGGAGAAAACAGGGAAAGCATAGAATACGTGAAGCAGGTTCAAAGGGACTACCAAGAAACTAAGAAGTCTATCGAAGACTGGCATAACAGCTTGAAAGAAACTAAGGACAGACTATCTGAACTGGAGGGCAGAATTGTAATATGGGAGAATGAAATGAAAAACTCCTTAAAAATAACAAAGAAACAAACAGCAATAATACAAAGACAAGAAGATGATAAGAGGAGCCATAACTTAAGGATTAAGAACATAAAAGAAGAAGTAGGGACACAAACAAATGAACTACAAAAGCTACTCACAGAAATAATCCAGGAGAATTTTCCTAATTTAGCAAAAGGTAAAGATACTCAGATGTATGAGGCATACAGGACCCCAGCTACCTACAACCCAAACAGAGCAACACCCAGGCATATAATAATAAAAATTCCAGAAATTCAATACAAGAACAGAATATTAAAAGCTGTCAGAGACAAGAAGCAGACCACTTACAAGGGAGCACCCATCAGAATTACAGCAGATTTCTCTGCACAAACCATCAAATCACGAAGAGCGTGGGGGGAAATAATTCAAGCTTTGAAAGATAATAATCTCCAGCCAAGATTGAGATATCCTGCACAACTGTCCCTCGAAATTGATGGAAAAACAAGGTGCTTCCAGGATAAAGAGGAACTGGGGGAATTTGCAACCACCAATTCAACTCTACAGAGAGTATTGCAGGATATTCTAAAAAAAGAAAAATACAAAGAATCCAGAAATCATGGAGGCCACAACGAATGGAGCAGAGAACAAAGTGAAGAAGACAAACTGACAGCTACTGACAGAATAAGAGCTCAACAGAAATGAGGCAGAGAAGATTGGATGATAGGAACAGCTATTTTGGAGAAAATGACATCTTAATAGGCAATACTGATTTAGTATCATCTTGTTTTGAAGTCTCATCTAGCTTTTGTCCTTCTGTCTCCAATGGTCCAAATAGGTTGTATCTTACTGGATTTTATTATGTATGATAGTATAAGCAAAAACCTTTTAAAGACAAGGAGATTATACAGAAACCATTGTTCATTTTCTGTTAGTCGATTCTAAATACTCTGTAATGCTGTCATTCTCTTGAATGGTTTTACATTGTTTTGATATACTTAATGCTACAGTATACAAAGTTGTACTCAAGGATTTCAAGGAAAGAGATAATATGGTAACTACTTTTAGGTCAGGATTATCTGGTGGTGAAACACTATTCTGCTTAAATGGTTATGTTTTGATCTGTGCTGTTTCGTTGTTATGCCCTCTTTTATCTCAATCTCCACTCCATTATTTACTTTTTTATTTTTATCCTTTTAATTAAAGGAAAAAAATAGCAGGATATATTATAGTAACCCACTTTGACTTTCCATTACCTCGATTTAAAGCCCTGTATTACTCTCACCATCTGGTTTTTAACTGATGTTCCCCCATTCTGTTTTGCTGGATAGTATCAGGTTCGAAAATTTAGGCATCAGCTGTGAAGA